CGGGTTTCTTGCTCAATCCGGAGAAAGAGAGGAAATTCCGAGAAAATACACACGTCAAATTGAGATGAGAGATAACTTTAAATCAATTGAAAAAACCATCGGTGAATTTGTGACTATGTCATGACTGATTCCCAAAACAGTATGTCTCTGTTACGCTGCTGAATCGATTCTGTGTGGTGCAAATCATTGATCATGTCGATGACATCGCCTTGCTGGTTGACAATATGCAGGTAGTCCAACACACTTGAAACCGCTTGACGATAGAGGAGGTATCCAGGTATGGTATGTGCTTGGAAACATCCAAGTGCAAAGCTTGGCAGGAGCTTGTGCCTGCACTCACCCTCTGTGGTGATCACCTGGAAGTAGTTGAGGGCTTGAAGTACCTCGGGATCTGGATTGCAGCTGGCGTTGTTGTTGGAAAAGAGATCACATCACGAATAGCGAAAGCTAGAGCACCTTCCGCCAACCTGCCACATCTGTGTTTCCGATATGACATCTGACTGTCTCTTAAGGAAGGGTAGGGTGTACATCACGGCGGTTCGTAGTGTTCTGCTTGGCGGTTGCGAAACCTCGCCTCCCCGAGTTGATAATGCCAACTGAATTTCTGTATTCGACCACCGATATCTCCGAAGCATTTCTCGTGTGCGGCGGGAACATCGGGACACACGTCCTCCCGGAGTGATCATCTGATGACCTTTACCACCAGACCACTACCTCCCACTTGAAACATTAGATCCCCTCAAACCACAATGCTACAACGTAAAACAATCTGAAATTTATGCAATGAAGTTTTCATCATAATTAAAGTGGACAATAACAGATTTCGATCCCACCCCACCCAGATCCCCTGACTGTTGTCCGTTTAAACATTGTATGGTTATCATCAAGATACAAAGAAACTCGAGTTCTTCGATCATTGGTGCTTACACCGCATCTCGAAGGTAAACTAGAGCGAGAGAGACCGGATACTGAAAATCGAGAAGCTTTAGAAAATGCTAAAACGCCGGTGCCTTCAGTGGTTTGGTCATGTGCTCCGAAGGCCCGACACTCAACTCTCGTAGCAGGCTGTAGCCTCCGCAGTGGGTCGTGGATGGCGTTGCCGACTCAGTGGTCAACTGAAGATCTTGAATTGTGCGATCCAGGAGGATTTGGAATTACTGGGCCTCCAATCAGTACATGGTATTCGTAAGTGAAACCAGATCTGGGT